AGAATGCTTACACATTGTTTGTAGGTGGCCATTTTGAAAAATAGTTTGATAGTTCCTCATAAAGTTAACTACACCATAACCCAGCACTTTCACTTCTGAACATGCGCTCAAGAGAAACAAAAATATATGAAAATGTGTTCAAAAGTGTTCCCAGTGAGCAGAAATAGCCCAAAACGTAGTATGTCCATAAAAGAGAATAAAATTTGGGGACTATCAGGAATGAAATGCTGGTATATATTATAAAAGAAATGAGTTCTTAAAATATTATGCTAATTGAAACCAGCCAATCACCTTATGTGATTTCATTTATGTGAAATTCCAGAATAGGCAAGTCTATGCTGACAGAGTGCAAAAGGGACCCCCAGAGGTGGCATTGTATGGTGAGAAATGGGAATGTGTCTTAGGGGCAAGGGATTTCTTTTGAGAATGATGAAATATCCTAAGTTTAGATCACAGAGATGGCCACCAAATTCTTAGAATATATTACAAACAGTTAATTTGATGAATGTTGTGGTATATAAATTCCATTTTAATAAAGGATGTTTAAAAACTAGTAAAACTATAAAGGACCTGAGGAAATATTGGTGAAAATTTCATAGCCCATTGCATCTCTGAGATTTTTTTGTACGTATAGGTATTCTTAAAAAGATGTAGGTCATGAGCATTTGAACAATTTATTGCATAAATCCAACTACTTTTCTATTTAAGTGAAACTAGATTGAATAAACTCAGAATGAAGTCAAGTCTGCCAAAGTGATATTGTATCATTACAAAATTGTTTGACTTTCTCTACTTATCACGTGAAATTTTAAAGTTTCATCTGAATTTCTCTGTAGGTGTGTAGGATTGTGATAATATTAGTCTGTCTTAGTAAGGCCTAATATCCAGCAAATGGTAATAGGCAACATCTGATATATCTGTTATTCCTCTAACCAATACTTATAGATATATCTCCACTAGTATATTAAAATTGCTTTATAATGATTTTAATGCACCAACTGGATAGAGAAAATAACTTTGATTTCTTGTCTAGTGTTCTTTTAAACCCGGCCATCAAATTTCTTCTTTCCTGCCACTTGGATGAAATCTCAAGTATTCACACAATAAAAATGCATCCAGTGAGTTTTGTTTACAAGTAGATCTCATTCACTGGTTTAAAGGACGGATCATAATCAAATCTCCAGGCTTAATGCCTACTTAGTCGAGCAGACAAGGGTGGAAAAGCATAACTGTTTGCTCACTACTTTGGTTTCTGATTCCTCCAGGCACGGGTTTGTGAGTATGAGTCAGGGACTGGAGTGTGAAGTCGAAAATTACTCAGCCCCGAGAGTCAGAGGGAGTGGGATCCTGCTCATAGTCTACTCCCTGACCTATCTGCCCTGGGTTCCGTCGTGCCCACAGCAAAAAAGCAGTGGCATTCAAATTTGCTTATGATTATCTGTTCACAATGTTTTTTTGTTTGTTTGTTTAATGGAGTGAGGTTACATCTATTTCAAGAAAGTGTCTCTTACTTTCTTTTAAAACTAGAGATTTTTCCACATCACAAAGACTGAGTTTCCAAATGCTATCACTCAGTTTAAACAGTGGCCAAATCTTGTCTTTTCCTACAAAGCCATTATTCTGTGGGCTCCTGGGAGGCTTGACTACACTGCCATGATCACATTATGCCTGTTCGCCATGCACACTCCGCATCGTGATCCTCCCTTCTTGTTTAAAACCGTCTGGATATTCAGTTTCACTTACTTCTTGGGGTCTTGCCACCTGCCCATGTATAGTCATTTGAGCACTGACTACAAGTTCATGGGATCCTTTCCTAGTCATATATTACATCCCTTCCCTACTTTCAACTTCTTTTACCTTCCTCTTTCCCTGGCTTCCTGTTTCTTGTTTTCCCCCTTTCTAAGTAAACCATTATTTCCTTCCGCTCACTGGGGTTTAAAAGTCAAGTGATACAAATCTTTTAACTAGAAACAACAGTGCTTTCCTCCATCTTCCCGCCTGCTAGTACCCTAATACAGAGTAACACTCTTCTCTGATTGTCTTTTCTGCCATTTACCTTCACATCTCTAAATAATATGCATTTGCTGCTACTTCTATACATTTTTCAATTTTATAAATTGTCCGTCCACTTCTTTCTAAAGAGACCACCCTTTAGTGCTCTCACGTTAATGGCAACACATCTTTCATGAGTTTGTGATAATTCCATGAGACTTTAAAAAAGCAATAGTTGTATTTTGTATATTGCTACACCTGAGTCATACTTTCATTCGTATCAAATCTTGTAGAAAACATGGCTATATTTCCTTTCTTGTATAACTCCTTGATTTTCCTGAGTTTAATAATTTAATTTGCCTCACTTATTTGCTCATATCAGTGTATCTGTAATCTGTCCAGCTGAACTCTAAGCTCTTATAAATGGGAGCCAGAATACTGGTTCTGTATTTGATTCATACGATCCTTTCTAGAACGCTGTGTTTTCCCCTTCTGAATGGACAAAGGGTTCTGCTGACTCCCAGAAGTTATTTCCTGGGACTTTCCTTAGTCTTCATCTTGGGAATTCCCTTAGATTTTTTTCCCATGTTGGATCCTAATTCCTAAATAATTCATCTTCCTTGATTCATAATTCATGTACCAGGCTCCTCCCAGGAAAGTGGTGAATCTAAGGTTAAGGGGTGATTATTCTGAGATTTGGTGCATGACTGAAGATATCTTTATGCAACCCTCATAACTGACATACTTTGGTTGGTAAAGAATTCTATGTTGTGAATCATTTTCTTTCAGATTTGACTTGATCTCTATTTCCAGTGAATTCTACCTTCCAGAGAGAGTCCATTGGGAAGTCTGAACCATATTGATGGTACACCTTCTTGGTAAAATTTTAAAGCACTCTATTTGTCTCACATTTTTCTGATGAGGTTGCTTTTTCATTCATTGCAATGTATGCAAATAAATCATTTAGAATTTGTGCTGCAAATGTTTATCAAGTTCTTGCCATATGCAGAAACTATTTTAGAACTTGTACCTAGGTTTCTAAGATTTTTCATTATTTCTCACTTTTTACCCCTTATTTTCTATTTTCTTAATTTATGCAATCTCTAATATCTGTTCATTTTATGGCTCTGTTTTACTCATTCTCTTATTTCTATATCTCTTAACTCTAACTTATTTTCATTTGTAAAATTTATTCTACCACTCAAAAATATTCTAAATTATCTTTTAATTTTTTTGAAATCACAACTTTTCCTCATAGCTATTTGATTATATCCACTATTTGTTTTTCATTTCCTTGTTTCCTCTAAGTATTTTTTTCTCTTATGGTTTGAATACCATATTTAATGGTAATACCTTTTCTGAAATGATTGGAAATTACTCAATTTCACAGCAAGGCTGTAATAAGAGAGGCCAAGCTCATGGACTGCAGTTTTCCATCAGAATGGTGATTTTTGCTAAAAACAGTCTTGCATAATCTTTCCAAATGGAATGTAAATCAAGTAGTCTGTATTTGTATCCTGAGTGAGGAGAGAAAGGGTGAGCCAGGTTATTCATCCAGTGTCTGACCATCCAGTATCTTCATTTTCAAGCTTGTTTTTCTGTCTTTGCTAAGTTTTTCTGGTGTCCAGACCTTCCCTTTGATGATAATCTTAAATCCTTTAATGGTAACCTAAAGGGGTAGTTGATAAGCTATATGGAATGAGACAAGGCACCTGGACATGTAAGCACTCCCTAAAATATCTTTGTTATCAATCTGGGTACCTGCTGTTTGTGAGATTTTTCAAGAAAGATTTTTGGTCTGTTCTTGGCTTCTTTCCATTAGGCATGTAAATTCCCAGAAAACTCACATCGAAGTAAGTTTTAACACTTGGTGGTGGCTCATTTGCTTTCTGTCTCCCCCTCTTCTCTTTGTTTTTGCCTTACAGGATCTTTTGGGAAATGAATGTGATTTATAAATCATCTACATTTAATTTATAGTTTTATCTAGCTATTTTTCTTTTAATCCACTTGTTTTCTTTTCCGCTCATTTCGTTCTTCCCAGTTTTCCAAGTGTCTCAGAACACTGACCCTTGCCCAACACTGATCTGTGAGATAGACAGCAAAGTCATAATAGAACTTATTTTCAAGATGGCAGGAGGAGAGGAAGAAACTGAGAGGTAGTTCAACCTGTGAATAGGTTATGAATAGAGATCACATTAGAAGGGGCAATGGGCTGATCAGAGGTTGGAAGTAACTGAGGAATAATGATTCCAAGGTAGCTGAAGAAGGAAATTTGGCCTTGTGGACATTGATAGGGTTGGTCAAGGAAGACTCTATCCTAAAGTAGCTGTGGTAACCAGCTGGAAGGAAGAAATGAACTCTGTCTACTGCATTCTTATTTTAGCACCATGGTTTTTCTATCTGAGAACCATGCATAGCTCTTTGAACCCTGGTTTCAACTGTGAAATGGGATCATTACCAATAACATTTTCCTAAGGTTGCTGTGAAGATTAAATCTGCTAACATCATAAAAGGTTTAATAGTTTCAAGTAATGGCTCAATAAAGAAGTGTGACACATGTTAGGTACTTAATAAACATTTTAATACATCTAGAGAGAATCATATTGGGCTATCTTTGTCTCAGAATTTTATGGCCATTTTTGTGTGTTCATGTGTGCTTGTATTTTAAGGGTTCCCTTTGGTTGGATAATTAGCCACATAGCAGTGAGATTGAAGAGACATATACTTCCAAATCTCTTCCAATAACAGCACCAGGTAGACAAATCATGACTGATTAACCAAGAGCTATGCTTTTCTTGGTCCAATAACAACTCTGCCCCAGGCACGTCTGCACAGTCTTCCAGGGACTCTGACTGATCAGCAAGGAAGCAAATGGCTGGTAATTTCTAATTTATAAACACTGCTTGACGTAGGCAGTTGGGCTTTGTGCCACACTGCTATGGCCTGAAATGGCCCAACCACTTTTCAGTGTGCTCAAAGCTATTTCAAATGACTTAATAACTCTTTACCTAACTCTCCACTGGAGTCCACGGACACCCCTGGATGGAGATGGTCATTGAGTGCCCTCAGGGTAAGGGGCTCAGGTTACAACTTCGTGGGGTTTCCAGCTGAACAATGAGTATATTGTGAAAGTCCCATCTGTCAAAGTAATCAAAGGATAAAGAGGAAAATAATACAATTAAACCTTTAAGACACATACATTTATCTTTGGTTTTTCAAAAACTGATCTCAATTTGGCAAGATTTCCTTTGGCAAAGAAGTTACAGGTTGGCACTCTGCTAGAAACTGAGGTCTTGCATATAATGAATCTCTGTGTACACTGATGAGAATAAGGAGAAGCAACTAGTACCATTCTGGTATGTGTGTGGAGGGTTATTTCTATAAACTAAGCATTCCAATAAGATAGATAACTAACTCGCTTAGATTAAACACTGTTTTGCAAAACAATAAATCATTTCACAGGCCAATAGATTGAGAAAGCTAACTACAGACAAAGGAAAGAACTGAGATGATCTGTGAGGGAAAAGCATATCGTACTTCTCAATTGATATCTCCTTGAGTAATGTCTCTGCTGGCATCCCAGATCCCATGAGAGTTCCTTTCCGTTCTCAGGGGCTCCTGTGAGAACCGCATTCCGTTTCACAACCTCCTTGGCAGCCACCCTTACCTCCTGGGCCCCTGCTCTCTGTATCTGGTGGGATGTTCCTTTATCATTAGATGCTTTCTCTGTGGTTGTTTCAAAGTCATTTCTTACCATCCGCCATCAGCCATCTATGCAGCAGCTGCACACAGTTCTCTGTGCATCAGGGTGTCCCTCCCTAGAGACCAGAGCCCAGGCTAACACACTCAGTAAGCTCTCTTGGGACTCTGCCTGTCTCATGCTGAGGTCACATGATGCTGGTTGTGATTTCTCTGCACCTGGTTTTCAGTGCATTCACAGAAACGATTGCCCTTCCTGAGGGAAGAGTTTTTCCTTCTCTTGTGTCTTCCACACTCATTTATACCAAACTAAACAAGACATATTATCCGGGTGCAATGGCCTCTTGTTTCCCTGATGAATTAATTATTGGATATTCGGGGCACCTGCAACCTTGTCTGGGTCTACAAGGGCATTGAATGGAAAGCAGACGTTCAGACATCCCTTAGCAACTCTGAATGCCATTAAGGTAGTGTCCTTTCTCTAGCAAGGTGCCTTAGGTCTGGGGCTCCTCATCATTTGTCTAGACAAAATCCTGATCTGTTTAATGAATCCAGCTTTCTGAGACTCTCATGCCTACAGAAAAGCATCATCTCAGGACCAATTCAAAGAAATATTTTTTTAAGAATCCAAATGGAGTTCTTGGGTCATTTTTTTCCAGCCAACATGATGACATGATGCTGAACCAAATACTGATGAAGCCCCTCTGAAGATGACCCATGATGTGCCTTTGGGGAGTGCACTGTCAATTATTGGCATGCATTTTATTTTTCTACCTTGGTGGAAGACACAAATTCCCTGAGTAAAGATTTTTTTCCTAGAGCCTTGTCTTATCTGTAGAGTTCTAGTATTTATCGCTGAGTTTATATTTACGGTGGTCCTGGTCTTCCTAGCTTGCATAATAAAAACACTGACTTCTTGTTTGAAAATTAGGTAGGATATTCTTTCTCAGCATCAAAATATTGAAGACACAACACAGGTGGACGTCAATTGCCTAATACTAAATAGGATCAACATTACATTTGGCCAAGCTGACTGGCACCCTAACAATAGCTAAAGTAGACCTAATAACACAAATTTCAAGGCCTCGGGTCAGGTTTCAAAGTGTTTAACTTTTTTTGATCAGGTTAGTTAAAAAGCAGACAACCAAGAAAATACCTTGTCTATGAAAGTGAGCTATGTGGGACAATATGGTTAATTCAATTCCACAAATTCTTCTTTTCTAACAACTTTAAGCTATAACTGAATGAAATGACCTAGTGAAACCAGCTGATCATCAGGCCGTGCACTCAGTCATTTAAATGTGCCTTGTCTACTTACATGTCATGGTACAAAGATGATAGAATCCTCTTATCAATAAACAGAACAATAAACAAAATCACATTCAACTACATTGTCATCATCACTTATTCCTACTTGTAACTGGATTACTATATCTTTGGTTGGCCTCAATTCCGATTCTGGGCTACCATGTTCCTTTGGGTTCACTCAGCTGAGTCATTTCTTCCCATTTCTGCCATTTGCTCTCAGCTGCCTAGCCAGCTGCCTTTCCATTGCACTGTATTTGAAACAATCCGAGGAGTAAACACTGAAAATTTGATGTATATTCCAGAAGGCAGTACTAAGACAAATAGGGGAAAATATAGGGAGAGAAACAAAATCTTTGCTGAAGGAAAAATCTAGCCATGCAAGGTATCCAGCAAGGAAGCAACACATTTAATATCATATGGTGGTGCCTCAGTTCACAAACACTTTTTGCAGACGCAAGTGTTTAGCAAAATTTTTTTTTTCATTTGCAAATTCTGCATTGGGTGACTGTGGCCATCTTTCCTATACAAACACAAACATGGCTATCTTTTCCAAAATTGTGGAAGTGGAATGAACATATATACATATATATATATATATATATATATATATATATATATATATAATTTGCTGACTTTTATTGTACATTATTATCTTTGAAAGGAGGTACATTTTATAATAATATGTGCAATAGTAATGTAACTAAACATTAAACTCAGTGTTTGTCTGCAGCATCTGAGAATATGAGTGAACAATGATCCTTAATTCCCACATGAGGGAAAGGTAGCCTCATCTGAAGCCTCTGAAGTGCAGAACAGCACCTAGAGTGTTCTGTTTCCCCCTCTTGAGCCAAGGCTAAGCTTTGAATGTAGAGCTTGAGTTCAGGGGAAACATAATATAAGGGGTGCAGTCAGACACAAGCTTAAGCAATTTGGAGATCACAGGACTGACTTGGGATATTCACCCTCCGGCAGGTAAGGTGAGATAAAGAGGAGAAAAGGCTTTTCCTCCACAGGCTGAGTTTCCCCAAGGGGCAAACTGACTGGACTTGAGTCATCCTGAAATAGTCTCCAATCAAGAAAGCAAGCAGCCCCAGTAGTAGTGGCATTCATATGTGATGAAGTGCTAGAGTCAAGGAGGAAAGGAGGGAGTAGGAAGCCAACACAGAAAGCAGCAGCCAAATATCAGTTAGTAATTGCTCAACTAATGCCCGTCTATGGAGAACCTCTGTGCTTTGATGAATGATAGAGTGAATTGCCTGAAATGTTGGGAAGCTTTGGGAACTATGATTAGAGGATTAGATTAGGACCAAACTTTGATGGACCCTAAATGCCAACTTAAATTCTGTGAAAAGTGCCAGTCAGGGAAACCCATGTGTATACAGGATTGAGAACGATCGTTGTCTTTAATAGTGGGAGTTTGTGTTCTTCTTTCCTATCATCTATTTCTCTATTATAGATGGGAATTTTTGCAAAATCAAATCGGACCAATTTCTTTTAAGTTTCATTCTCTTCTCTTCTTTCTTTAACTTTATATTCAGTTCTTTCCCTTCCGTATTTTCGTTTGGTTCTTCGTATGCATTAAATCATATTTAATCTTATCTTGAGCGCCCTATGCAAGTGTTACATTGTCTAATAATATTTCTATTTCTGCTGCCATTATGAATGCTTTGAGAAAGTTCTTATTAAAAGTCCCATACACAAAGTTTCTGATATCATTTTTGCTTTCACAAAAATGTACCTTGTTTGATCATCCATCAAATTTTTTTACATAAGACTTTCAAAGCTAAAATAGCTCTGTAATGTGTGCATCTCCATAGACTTACAGGTACTCTCCTAAAAATAACAAATTAATTATTGAAAATTACATCACTCTAACATTTCTAGTGTGTCTCACTTTACCATGACCTTCTCATATTTTATCCTTATCTTGGGGTGGACTCTTCCCTGACACAGGGCTACACTGTGGAGGAGGTGTACAGTACACTGTAGCAAATGCCTAACTGGGTAAAATTACTAGTGGTAACACTAATGTAGTGCATCTGGCAATTTTCTAGCTTTCAAACTGTTTGCCAATAATGACTACTGGTGATATTAACAGAGAAGAACGAACAATTTCCATTTCTGTAAAACTACTGTGGTCTCTTGACAAGGTTCCCGTCCACTTTTTCATTGTTTTTTAATGTTAACGTTTTGGAATTGTTCTTGTGTGACTTTTGTGAGAAAGTATATCTTGTCTCTGAAGCCTTTACTGCTTCATCAGGGAAGGTAAAGACTATCTCGACTAACAGCTATAATATTTTGCTACATTTATTTTGTTTTTATTAAAATGATTCATATTTGAAATTAAAACTCGTGTTTTGTACAATACTATTTTTTCTCTTTATTTTACCTAACTGCTTTTTAAAAATGTGTTTTTAATGTAAGTTTTACAGAAGCGTTTTATTTTGGCTTTTTGATTTCTATGGTTAAGTAGGTATGTATGTGTTATAAAAATTATTTTCGTCTTGCTCAATTTACGTGTTTGGTTTTTTTTTTGTTTTGTGTGACTAATCAATATTCATTTTCTTTATTTCATGTTAAATAGTTTAGATAAAAATGCAAAAGCAAGAAATTGCACCTGATACTTGAAAGTTACTATTCTTGACAGCACTTCATCTTTTTTCCTGCCCAGATTGGCTTTTCTCCCAGTCCATCCATTCCCTAATGTAAGTGTTATGAATTGCTCTAACGTGCCATAAAGCATAATAAACATAAATCAATATTTCTTGGTTAAAAACTTAGAACTGCTGAGCCAGCCACGGTTGGTTAGAGGTGTCCTGAATCTATCATGTCCTTCGGTTATTTCAACTTACCAGCAGCCACTTCTGGGCTTAAGAATACCTCTTTGTTTTCTCTCTGACCTCAGTTCCCTGGATGCGTGAAGTGACACATCAGGATGGATTGTGGGGACGATATCATCCAGCAGTCCTAGAAAAGCCCCATTCTTTTTCGTTTTGGCCTCTGATCCTGGTGACTTTGGAAGAGTGAAGCGACATTCTTAGGCAAAGTTAGACCACAGGCTGGTAATATGTCAAGCTGATCTGAGGCAAATTCCAGTTCGTCATGGGGAAAAAAATCATTTTCTTCTGGGATTCAATGAATTAAGCAAAAGCCCACTCTTTTCCTTCTAATTTTTGCAAATGTGGCAACTAATCTAAATGAAACACCTGCAGGCAGCTTAATGACAAAACCGACCTGCTTGAATTTTGCCATCTTTGGAATTTTTAAATATAATCATTTGCTGTACCCTTGATTTGAAAACCACACCTCTCTCCTGAAAATGACAACTTACCCCCACAACCAGTTTATGCTCTTTATGTGGCACTGTTGTTATTTATTCTCATCTCAAAGGGAATGATTGAATAGCTTTGTGGTTTTTGCTAAGAAATTGTGAAGCCATATAGTATGAAATCTGCAAGCTCAGGTGATCGTCTTTCTCGAGGATATTTTCATAGGCAGCCCTTTGGAAACTGCATGAAAAGGTCAGTAGGGTATTAGACAAAGTGTTTTATTAGGGTATGGACTCGTAGTGTACTTTTCATACAATTGTGATCCAGTACATAAAATTGGAAAGATTCTTCTCCCCCAATTATCACCATCTTCCAGTCAAAAGAAGGCTCCATCACATATTAAGAAGTACCTTTTCCACTAGAAAGGTGAATTGTCTAGGTGGTGTTCTATCAGCCAATGATCTCTCTTCTGTTTGTCCAGTGACACTGCCATTAGTGATTTGTTCTTTCGGATTCTGGAAACCTTTAGATCAATAGAAAAAGAAATATGAATGACCTATAAAGATATGAAAAGATTATGAATTGTACCTCTAAAAAGGGTTAAATAAATTGAAAAATATCAGATAGCATTTTTTTGCCAATGACACTGGCAAAAGAAAATTTAACACTTATCTGTGTTAAACTGAGCAAAATAGGATCTTTATAATATAGTTGGTTGCTATAAATCTAGAGGACAGTCATTAGGAATGGTATTAAATTACAAATACAATTGCCTTTTGATTTTAGCAATCTTATTTTGGGAAATGATCCTATAGTAAAAAAAAAAAAACTACACTTACAAATGGTAAATGTGTAAATTCATTTATTGTGAAACTCCATAGAAAATATGAAATTCACAAGAGCTCAAGGCTTATCACTAAGATGACAAACTGATTACATTAACCATGGTGTATCCACCCAATGGGTTATCATACAGCAGTATAAAATCAAGGGACTGCTATTTATGTACTAGAAATGTCTTTAGGTTGGGCCTTTAAAAGGAAAAAGATGAGACTTAAAAAAATAGGAAAAAATTTCAGATTTACACTTGCTTGCTACTTGCATAAAGATATATTGAAAAGGCACAAAAGAAAGTAAGAAGCAGAGATTACATGTAGCAGTGGTGAGGGGAACAGGATGGGTATGATTGGGGAAAAGAACAACTCCTACTGCATACTGCCTTTATTTTGAGCTATGTGAAAGTGTAATATATTCAAAAAGGTTTTAAATTATAGGCCATGTATTATTTTGTCTTGTAAAACATTTTATTGTACTAAAAGATATTACAATATACTTCCTTTTAACTATTTTGAAGTGTATAACTCAGCAACATTACATTCACATTATTATATAACTTCCACTCCAATCAATTTCCAAAACTTTTTTATCATGCCAAACAAAAATTCTGTATCCATTAAGCAATACTTTTTGTTCTCCCTTCTTATCCCCTAGCAACCTCCAAAGTACTTTCTGTTTTTAAGAATTTGCTTATTCTAGATATTTCGTGTCAGTGAAATCATACAACATTGATCACTTCGTGTTTGGCTAATTCTGCTTTTCATAATGCCTTCATGGTTCATCTCTGTCGTGGAACACATCAAAACTTCCTTTTTCTTGGCTAATACTGCATTGACGCATGTAGATGTTTGTTTATCTCTTCATCTTTCGGTGAACACGTGGGTTATTTCTACCTTTTGGCTCCTGTGAGCATGCTGTTGTGAACCCTAGCATGCCTTGTTCTCAGTTCTTTTGACCATTTACAGAAGACTGGAATCATTGGGTCATAAAGTAATACTATGTTTGGTCTTTGAGAAATGGTCAAACTGTTTTTCATAGCTCTGTGTCTTTTCTGTTCCTACCAGCAATGTACAAGTGTTCTGACTTCTTTACATCCTCATCAGCATTTGCTATTTTCTGTTAAGTATAACCATCCTAGTGGGAATGAAACTGTACCTTACTAGAGCTGACCAATTAAAATGTTTATATTTTTAAAAAAACTTTTGTAAATGCCATCAATTAACTATAATGTCTGTAGGAAAATATTACCCCAAATCTGTTATTAAATCAAAGAACTGAGTGACCTTTAGCAAACCTCAAATTACTGAGTTGACTGGTCTTGTCCTTCAAGGTACATGAAACCTCCTCCAGTTAGTTATCTCTGTTGCCTATCTACAAAATGCTAAGTGCTTTATGTCCTCATTATTACACCAGAGTTCCCCGGGGTAGATTACCCCTTACACCCATTGTGCCAAGGATGAACTAACTGAAGGCCGATGTGCACAGCCAAGCAGTGCTCTACTACTGAGATACACCCCACCTCTAGGTCTACACAAGGGGTGATGAAAAACCACAGTGAATGTTTATGCTTTAAAAAAATTATTACAGTAAAAGTCACATTACCGAAAATGAGAGGATAAATGTGTTGGCAGTGAGGGAATATTTTGAGTGTTTTGAAGAGGATTAATGGCAATGTTTCTTTTGCTGTAATTTTTAAAATTTAAGCATTCACCTTGTTTCTTTAACCACACTTCATATTTTATCTCTCTACTGTAGTTGAGCAAGCTGAGTGCTGTCTATGACAAAGCACATAGCCAAAGCCAAACTGCTAATAAATGGCAATGCCAACATTTGCACCAATTTTGGTTTAATCACTAGACTTGTGCTTCCTCCACCATCTCAAGGGCATTAAGCCCACCTTTCTCTTTACTTTTGACTTGGTAGTGTATTTAAATTGATTAGCACCATTTTCACCAAAGTCTTAACTTGAGGGGCCTACAATGCTTGAGAGTTTTCTGTCACATTGTCAAAAACACGGTCTTTCATATCAGTTTGTCACCTGGAGCTCTCTTTTTTACTTTGGGACGTCTGAATTTCCCAGGCCTCAGACCAAAATTTCAAATGCACTTGCAACTAAACGGCAGGTCCCTCCACAGAAAGCTCTGGGTGACAATGCAGAAGAGATGAGTTTTTCTAAATTGGAAGCTTGCAGTGGGAGAAATGTGAGCACACCTAATGGCCAGGGTTTTCCACCCATGACCTAACAAGTGATATGAATGGGCAGCCCCTCCTGTGGGCATCATGCCCTGCTCCAGGAACAGTGTCCTCATACATGAACAGCTGCTGCTGAAGCAGTAGTTTGGGTGGCACTGCTCATTCAAGAGGGCTTACTGTAGAGCTAACCAATCACTTCTTCACCATGCCCCCTGTACAGTGGGGCTGTTAGCCATCCCCAGGCAAACAACAGCACGAAGAGATGATGAGCCTGGAAGACTTAAGATCTCACCAGCTGTACTAAGCTCTTTTCCTATAGAAGCAGAAAACGGGGTTTCACCATTTTGCTCCAGCATGAAGAAACTTTTAATGGAAGTGGTTCACCTGGAGAATAGTGTGTCAAATCTCAAGCTAATACTCAAAGAAGAGTTTGTCTCCCTTGGAACAATGATACAAAAATAATCTTCTAAAAGAGTTTTGTATATCTTACATGTTGTATGATGTTATATGTAATCCCATTCAGGAAAACATCTTCTGTCTGGTAAGCTACACATTTGAATGCAAAGATAAAAAGAAAGTGATGTCCAGAGATTCTTGAAAAGCTCTAAAATATTTATTTTATTCCATCCTACCATCTGTAGCACTACTACTGTCCATCGAGTATAGGACTGCAAGACCTTGCTCTGTGGTTTTTAAAAAAAATTAGGCTTAATTATTTTTAAAACTTATTTTAAATAGTAAAATAAGATAATTTATTGTTATCAAAACTTTAAACGGAGATAAGATAGACTCTTCAATCTACCCAATCTTATCCCTTAGAGAATTTTCTATTACTGAGTCTGTGTGCATACTTTCAGATGTTTTAATACATTTGTATTTACATTAATACATGATGCCCTAGTTCTTTAATCAATAAGCATTTATTTAGCAGATCAGATTACTTAAAAGGTACAGGAGAAACAGATTCAGTCACAATGTACTGAACATCTAATTTATACCATGAATTATGCTGAGGGTTTCACCTGTTGTGTTTAACTGTAATAACAACCCGAAAGAGTTATGCTACTATTTTCATTTTATACATGAGAAAACTGAAGCTCCAACAAACTAAATAATTTCCCAGTTGTCACACCAATGATTAGGGGTGGAGTTCAGATGCGAACCCTAGAGCAGACTGTCTAGAGTACATTATCTTAACAATGCAGCAGGGCAGTGCGCTGAAATGATAGCTAGAATTTGTCTAGTGTGCCAAACAGTTATCTCAGGGCTTCCCTTATAGTGACTTATTTTATATGCACAACAACATGATCAGACTGTTACCAGCCCCATTTTAAAGATACGAAACTTAGGAATGGTGACAGTAAGGTATCAAGAGTATGGTCATGATTGTGGAGCTCGGATTAGCACCTGGACAAACTGAATTTGCAGCTTTGTCTTATCTCTTGACTAACATTACACTGCCCACTCACTATTATGTTCGTAAATACCCATCTTTAAACACTATGTAACTTTTAATCATGTTTGTTTAAAGTTTTTAATAACATTGTAATGCTTAATTAGAATGTAACTACACAATAAGTTGAGAATTGCTTATATAGTATGATTCTAATTACATAAAATATATACAGAGAAAATGTTCATAAGAAGTGTATTTGGTCTCCTACTGCTGTGATTTATTTTTATCTCATTGTTTCAAAAACTTGTGAATTTTTGCATTCTCATGTCTAAATGGAGATTTTTGGTGAGGAACCAAAGTAGGAGTTGTTAGGTACTCAGAAGATACCTTGCCCATTTCTATCACAGCTGCATAGAAAAGACTATACTAAATGAACGTAAGCACTGGCAACGAGGCAAGGGTTTTGGATGCAAAAATGTGGACACAGTCATATTATTGAAAGTTTGGGGAGGTTACTTCATCACTCGGAAGTGACTGAGACTTTTTCTTTAATCATTGTCCTCATTCAACAGAGGCCGAATTGTACAGGCATAGTGATACCCACAACAGTGACAGGACTTTTGGAAGTCAAGAGCAGGTGTATCAGGAGGAGGCAAGGGGAATGTGAAGACCTGTGGATTGGAAGCCTGTATCAAAATCCCCTCCGTCTGGCAATAAAATGTTGGATAACTCTGTGGGTGAGCAGAGAACGAAAAAAAATCCTTTAAAGAAAATTCTCAATTACAAAAGATCACTTAAAACTTCATCCAATATAGAAATTAACAACGATGGAGAGTTCCTCCAGCCCTGATAGTGGGGATTTAAATTTAATATGATTTAAACACAAAGAAGAATGAGAGACTCCACATTCAAAAGAAAAACAAAGGAAAATCTCAACAGTTGTCTCTGGAAAATAGAATTGTGGGTGATTTTTTTCTATATAATTTTCAAAGTATTTTTAAAGTTTCCTGTCTCATTTGTTTCCTACAAAACCACGAAACCAGTCACTTTATTTAAATGCTTATTAGCTATATTACTTACTGCCCATCTGGCTAAGT